TTCATTGTGATGTTTGTGAATTTGCTAAGCATCATCGTGTGTCTTTTCCTTCTAGTATTACTAAGAGTGTTGAACCTTTTGAACTTATATTCATTCTGATGTTTGGGGTCCTTCTAAGGTCCCTCATTCTTCTGGAAATAAATGGTTTGTTTCTTTTATTGATGATTGCACTCGTGTAACTTGGGTTTACTTAATGCGTGAAAAGTCTGAGGTACCACAACTGTTCTTTCAATTTTATAAAATGATTGAGACTCAATTTTGTAAAAAAATCAAAAGACTAAGGACAGATAATGGTACTGAATATGTCAATCACTCTTTTTCCCAATTTATACAAAATCAAGGTATGATTCATAAACTTACTTGTGTAGACACCCCTCAACAAAATGGGGTTGCTGAAAGGAAAAATCGTCACCTTCTTGAAGTTGCTCGTGCCTTACTGTTTCAAACACATGTACCCAAATGCTATTGGGGAGATGCCATTCTTACTGCAGCGTTCTTGATCAATCGTCTACCCACTCGGGTTCTCGATCATGTAAGTCCTATTCACTCCATGACTTCTTTTTTTCCTTCTGTTCCAACTTTGCAAAGTCTTCCTCCTCGAGTGTTTGGGTGTGTTGTCTTTGTTCATATTCATAAACAGCATCGCAGTAAGTTGGATCCTAGGGCTCTTAAATGTGTCTTCCTTGGATATGCTCCTGATAAGAAGGGCTATAAGTGTTATCACCCTGGAAGTCGGAAATTTTTTGTTTCTATGGATGTTACATTTCAGGAATCTGAGTCCTTTTTCCAAGGTCCTCATTTTCAGGGGGAGAATAATTGACCAGAAGACTCATCACCTTCCTTCTTTGAATCTTCAGTGTCTACTCCTTCACCTGTGTCAGTGTATCCTCCTCTTGGTCCTGTTCCTCCTGTGTCTGTTCATCTTGTGTCTGATCCTCTTGTGAGTATCCTCCTGTGACTGATTCTCCTGTGATTGATACATCAAGTACACCAAAGATACGGAAGGTTATGACACCTGAAAGAAGGAAACAACCCACATTGTCTCAGCAGCAACCTCAATCGTCTGAACCACTGGTAAGTCCTGAATCTCATATTTCTGATCATGATGTTAATACTTCTGATGACTTACCCATTAGTACTGATTCTGATGATTTACCCATTGCTCTTAGAAAAGGAAAAAGAGCTTGTCCCAAGAAATCTTGTCCCTCCTGTACTCAATACCCTATCTCTCATTTTGTTTCCTCTGCTAATCTTTCTGTGCAGCACAAAAGCTTTGTTTCAGCACTAGACTATATTGCAATCCCAAAATCAGTACATGAAGCCTTGAAAGATAGGAATTGGGCTCAAGCCATGCAAGAGGAGATGAATGCTTTGGAGAAAAATAAAACATGGGAGGTTATTGATAGACCCAACGGAAAGAAAGCAGTAAGGTGCAGATGGGTTTATGCCCTGAAATATAATTCTGATGGCACTCTTGAGAGATACAAGGCTCGATTAGTAGCCAAAGGTTACACTCAAACCTATGGCATTGATTATGAAGAAACCTTTGCTCCAGTTGCAAAGATGAATACAGTAAGAATCTTGTTATCCCTTGCTGCCCATTACAATTGGGATATAAATCAATTTGATGTGAAAAATGCTTTCCTCAATGGTGAGTTAGAAGAAGAAGTCTACATGGAAATCCCGCCTGGTTTTGATTCTGTGAAGGGGAAAATAAAGTTTGTAGATTAAAAAAGGCCTTGTATGGATTGAAGCAGTCACCTCGTGCTTGGTTTGGAAGGTTTACTAAGGTTATGATGACCTTAGGATACAGACAGAGTCAAGGAGATCACACTCTTTTCTTCAAGCACTCCCAAAATGGGAAGCTTACTGTGCTCCTTGTATATGTTGATGATATTATTATCACAGGTGATGATTTTGTGGAGAGACAGATTCTGCAAACACGGCTTGCCTCTGAGTTTGAAATCAAAGACCTTGGGAAACTGAGATATTTTCTAGGGATAGAAGTAGCTCATTCAAGCAAAGGAATTTTTATCAGCCAGAGAAAATATATTTTGGATCTTCTCAAAGAAGCAGGAAAGCTCGGGTGTAAACCCTCTAATACTCCTATTGAGCAGAATCACAAGATGGGCTATGAAGAAGAGAGTCCTCCAGTTGATAAAGGATAATACCAACGGCTAGTTGGGAGATTGATATATCTGGCCCATACTAGACCAGACCTAGCTTATGCTGTTAGTGTTGTCAGTCAGTTTATGCACGATCCAAAGGAAAAACACATGCAAGCAGTAGAGAGAATTCTTCAGTATCTTAAAGGTACTCCTGGTAAAGGATTGTTATTCCGACGTGATGGCAATCTATCTTTAGAAGTCTACACAGATGCTGATTATGCTGGATCCGTGACTGACCGTCGTTCTACCACTGGTTATTGCATGTTTCTTTGCGGTAACTTGGTGACATAGAGAAGTAAGAAACAAGATGTGGTTGCCAGATCAAATGCAGAAGCTGAATTTCGAGCTATGGCTCAAGGAATTTGTGAGTTACTATGGCTAAAAATTGTACTTGATGATCTCAAAATAAAATGTGAGGGACCTATGAAGCTGCTATGTGATAATAAGTCCGCTATTTGTATAGCTCATAATTCAGTTAAACATGATCGGACTAAACATATTGAGGTCGACCGCCATTTCATCAAAGAGAAACTTGATAGCGGGTTGATTACCACTCCATACATTCCTACTGGGCGTCAATTAGTTGATCTATTAACAAAGGGGCTTCCTTCAGATAGATTTCAAGAACTTACTAGCAAGCTGTGAATGATAAATATCTATTCCTCAGCTTGAGGGGGAGTGTTGTAAATAATTATTATTTAGTTTTTATTTAGTTATTTATTTGTTGTATTGGGCCAAGCCCATTAGGTCAAAATTAGGTCAAGTATTCTCTATAAATAAAGAACCCTTTGTACAAATTATATACAATTCAATAATATTTCAAATACCCTTTTCTTTCAAGTGTATATTCATGCATTATTGCTTGATTGTGTTACATGCTTGGAGCATGTTGTGTGTGAAATTTTGTGATCTCTGGCCAGTAGATATGTGTGGTTTGGACTTTCGCTGGAAATATCCTTTGGGGATTCCGGTCGGGTTTTGCCGTGGGGCCGACTCTGGGAGCGGCACCAGGTTGATCCAAACGTGGGACTTCTGCTGGATAGGGCTCATGAGGAGTTCCAATTGGGTTTTTCCAGGGGGTCGTCTCATCCATGGGAGAGGCACCAGGAAGCTTCCCAGGAGTTATATGATGGGGTCCTTGAACGGAATCCTTATGTGGATGTTCTTGGATTTGTGCCCAGTTGTTTGGTGATTTTGTATGTTATGCATTTTACATGATGTTATTTGTTGCACATTGAGTGAGCAATGGGGTGGAGTGATCCTCTAGTACCCTTGGTTTACTGAGATATATTTGTATATCTTACCCCGCATTTGGGGACATCATTTCAGGCTATTGTGAGCATGGAAGAGCTTCGGGCAAAAGGCCCGCTTAGTAGATGAGTTGAGGATGATATGCATATGGAGAGCATGGCATTTTGGGAAGAGCATGACTGATGCATATAGCATTACATTTAGCATTTTGGACTTAGATCATGAACATATTGCATGTTGAGATTTCCATTCTTTTGTGGTGTTCATGATTATATTCTAAGTTTTTTGTAATTGGTTTAGATTTCATGCCTATTGTGTATATTGGTATTTTGGTGAGCATGAGACTTGTCCATGGCCACACATTATGCTTAAAGGCATTTAAAGACTTATGATGTAAAATGAGCCATATGATGTGTAAATGGCAAAGGATATGGTGAATGATGTAAAATGATACATTAGTATTAGATTATACGTGATGGAAGGGCCTAGAGCCTACATTAGTACTTGCATAAGCTGTATGTTAAGCATCAAAGTGTTAGGAGTAGAAAACATGATCCATTTAGTGATTTAAAATCTATCAAAATCTGATTCTGCAGTATAGGAATCGATTCCCACTTTAAAGGAATCGATTCCCAACATCACAGTGGCTGAATATTACGTACTCTGCATCAGGGAATCGATTCCTTTTGGGTGGGAATCGATTCCTCAAAACAGGGGAGTCAAATTTTGCTACTGGGAATCAATTCTGGAGGTTAGGAATCGATTCCCACTGCACAAATTTTGGAAATGTGTCATTTTATAACCTAGATTTAATGGTATTGCTTAGTGGGATTCTAATTAATAAGTTTAATGCTTCCACATGTTTTTTTTTTTTTGATAACAAAACATGCTTCCACATGTTTTGAAATTACAATTATAGTGTTGTTTTAATTATTTACGGAAATGGGTAATGTTTAACAATGAGGATTCAATAAAAGGAAAAAGTTTATTCGTAATTTAATTAACTCAATTACTGTGATTGTAACTGCGCTTAATACCATATGCAATGATAACATTACCGGTACGTAACGAGCTGTTACATAGACATAGGCTTATATAGATTGCAGACTTATAATTCATTTGCTTAATGCTTGATTCAAGAGGGATTACTAGGACACTAGGATTCTAATTGGGTTAAAGGGTTGAAATCACTAAGACATTAGGGTTCAACTAATTTATAGGAAAATAATAAATTGTCTGAGCGAACCAATTAGTTAATTATAAAATACAATTTAGGAATATAAGGGATGGTCGATGTGAAGTGCATCCTGGCTACAGTCTTTTAACAAATTTTTCATCAATATATTTTTAAGGTTCTTGATACTCTTGCATGCGTTCAAATTTAATTGTTCTTAATTTTTTGCGTTTAAATTTAATTATTTTAAAATTCTGTTTTAAAATTCCAAAATCAATCATTTTCACAAAACAAACAAATTTTCTTTTCCAACTTAAAGGGAATAGTTAAATTAATACTTGGTGCATTAATCATCGAGGGAACGATCTTTACTCATCACTTCTATTACTTGAAAATGAACGGTATACTTGCCAATTTCGCAACAAGACGCTTCAAATAATCATGAGCTTTCTCATCATCAACATTCTGCAATTTCTTCATAGCAGTCTCAAAACCATTTTCAGTTGTTGCATATGCAGCTTGCCATAATAGGTCAGTGTATAATTTTCCCTTGAATTGCTTCTTATAATTGTCAAGTAAGTGGTTTAGACAATACCTATGCTCGGTGTGAGGAAGAAGATCAGCAAATGCTTGAAGTAGTCCCTGTAAAAAATAAAAATAAAAATCAACAAAACAGTATGTGGAACCAGTAAAGCAGCAACACAAAATAGCAAAAACAGCAGAAATAGTAAATAAAATAGCAAAAAACAGTAACTAATACAACAACTAAAATAACCTTTTGCATATCCGACATAAAGACTAAGTTCGTTGGATCTATGCCATCTAATGCATCCAAAAATGAAGTCAAGAATCAACTCCAACTATCCTTATTTTCAGCTTCAACGACAGCTATCGCAATCGGGAACATAGTATTATTTCCATCGTGTGCTATAGCACTTAAAAGATGTCGTCCAAAATGTGTCTTCAAAAAACAACCATCAAGGCCAATTAATGGCCTACAACCTGTTGTGAAACCGGCAATCTTTGCTTGAAAACTCACATACAATCTTTGAAATCCTGGGAGCAATTCTTTCACAAACCCATTAATCATCACTGGAGGTTGTGGTTCAGTATGTAGCTTAACGAAACTTCCCGGATTTGTACTTAGAATAATTTCAGAATATGCACGACTAACTTCAAATTGCCGAGCATGATCCCCAATATGGTCTTCTTTGCTTTCTTCCTTTCTCGGTACAGCCGCTGAATCCCTACATCATATCCAACATTTTACTTACTCTATTTCTCAATCCACTCATTTCTTCCTTCAGGTTTGATCTAAAATCCTCCAATAATTTTTTTGATAAGTACTTGGAAGTAATTAGGCTATTTGTAGCTTGTCTAGGACATGTGTGGATGGGTTTCCATGTTTTAATTTGGAAACCTTACAAATTGCTCTTACTCTGCTTCTTTCATTTTTCACACATGTATATTCATATCCACGAGAAATAGACCACTCCTTCAATGCATCTCGAAATTTGTAAACATCACCAAATTGCATTCCATGTGTCAATTCAATTTTACCCTCATCGATGTCTTCATTTATAATTTCATTCATTTTGTCCTCAACCAATGCCTCATCGTCGAATATATCATCTCTAAAGTCAGCCCAATCATGAACTGCACTCCAATCCTTTCCACCATCTTCAAACTCAGCTCCATCATTGCCAGAAGTTGATTATTCACTACATAAAGTAAAAAAATTATCTATCCCAATCAAGATCAGCATCATATATTTGAGAAAGATAACGTAGGAAACAAGTCCTTTTAAATAGAACCACTATATTGGACAAAGCCTAAAAGATGGAACTTTTAAAGGTAGCCAAACACACACACAAAAACATGAAATGGGAACTTACAAGGCGTTGGCGTTCTTAGTTGTCAGAGTGTGGATACTCAAGACCCACATGCAAGGAGCTTCAATTTAGGGTAAGAGTGTTAAAGAAGAAAATTGGAAAAAGAAAGCTTTGGAGCTAGTGAAAAACTTGGAACCCAGACTCTGGTCTATTAGTTGTTTTCTGATTTTAAAGGTAGATGTGATATTTTTTTTAAAGTAAAAAGAGTTAAGTTTAGTTTTGGATGGAAAAAGAAAATATGGAGGTAAGTGATAAAAAAAATTTAATAAGGGGGTAATTGAAGTTTTCCCTACATTTAATAGGTTGAATTAACAGTCATTATAACATTAATTCTAAATTTTGGAATATGTACATAACGAATTTAATAATTTAATGATCGCTATGGTAATTATTTTGATTTCAAATTATCCTCATAAATGATAATTATTATGATTGCTAAAATCTAGATTAATAATTAAATCAGTTATTTAGATGATTTAAATCTAGAAAACTAATTTTGAAATATGTGCATAATAAATTTAATAATTTAATGATCGTTATGGCAATTATTTTGATTTCAAATTATCCTCATAAATGATAATTATTATGATTGTTGAAATCTAGATTAATAATTTAATAAGTTATTTGGATGATTTAAATCTAAAAAAATAAGGGATAGGATATTGTGACACCCAAGTTATGTTACACCCATGTGACACCCAGTCAATCTCACCGTTAGATCGTTTATGTTGATCCAACGGTTATATTTATTTCCATCTTTGTATGGTCATGATTTCCCAAATTTAAAGTGAAAGCATTAAATATGGGAAATCATAACCATACAAAGGTAGAAATAAATATAAAATATTAAATTTGGGAAATCATGACCATACAAAGATGGAAATAAATATAACCGTTGGATCAACATAAGCGATCTAACGGTGAGATTGATTGGGTGTCACATGGGTGTAACATAACTTGGGTGTCATAATATCCTATCCCAAAAAGTAATTAAGAAAATTTCCTAAGAGAATAGTTTATTTTGTGAGTAATTTGTGGGTCTTCTAAAATGGTCATGTGTTAAACACACGTTGCATACCACAATCATGTATCATGATTGTGTGAAGCACACGCTGCCTATCATGACCGAGTTTTATGACCTAAATGATTTCAAAATTCAGAAAATCTAATTGATGCATGTTCATCGGTGCTCTTGCTTACATAGTTTTTGAAATCAAACAAAGGTTACTCTCAATTAAATAATTCTTGGAAATTGGAAAAATTGCTTATGCTGAATGAGAGGAGATTTAAATTAAGAAATTAATTTAACGTCCAAGTGCATTATGGGCCTATCAATAAAATAATCATGTGAGGCCCCAACGGATAAGCATGATTGAATTTTATTGGGCCTTAATAATTTTAAAATTTTAATACAGTATCGTACAGTCCATCGTCAGCAATACTAAGTTATTTAAGACAATTTTTAAATTAAATAATGAATTCAACAAAGCTTATGAAAATTCTTAAATAAAAATATTAAATGGGTGAAGGTTTTAAATTAAGTATTTAATTTTAAAACTTGCGGGCTCCATTTGTGGGTCCATTAATAAAATGGTCATGTGAAGCCCCAACGGATAAACATGACTATATTTTATTTGATTGGACCTTAATAATTTCAAAATTTTAGTAAAGTATTGTACGGCCCAACGTCGACAATGCTTAGATACTAAAGTTAATTTTGAAATTAAACAATGGTTGACTACATTCAACTTTGGTAAAGTTATTAACCCTCCCAACGAGGCTCTGGTAATGGCACCGAAGGCCCAAATAACAATTTAATTTTTACAAGTGACTTGCCCAACGTAAGCCTTGTAAAGAAAACTGAAGGATTGTTAACAATAGACAAGAGAGAGTAGTTATGAGAATTTACTTGTACTTAGTTTGTTTATTGGATTATTTGTTTGTAATTGCGTGCCTTGTATTTCTTTTCAGAAAATGACTTCCTTCAATCCTTTAGCCATGATTTTGAGTAAAAAATCTCTAGATGGTACAAACTACGAAGAATGGCAAAGGAACCTTGATATTGTTCTTAAACATGAAAAGCTGAATTTTGTCCTTACCATACCAAAGCCATGGCCACCTGTAGAGAGTGCATTGATGGGACGAAAATTCATTCTCATCTAAGCTCATTTTGATGACAAAATTCCATCCTCTGACCACTTTGCAGGAAAGGTTGAAAAGAAGCTTCCAAAAAGTAGAAAGAAAACAATCAAGCACGAAGAAACGTGTACAGCAGAGAATAAAGAGTTACTATTGGGTGAGAGAAAAATCAAGCATGGGAGATTCAGAAGAAAAGGCAAATCTCAACCTTAAGTTGTCCTATCCAGCAACTTGCTTCATATAGATCACTGTTTACACCGCCTCTTCATGCAATCAAGGAACAACTCAAGTGGAATTACAAGTTTTGCCATCCACTCTTCTGGCCTATAAATAAGATGTTCCAACACGAAGAAAGCATCGAATTCCTTAAGAAGAGATCACTTTTGGCATAGTTTCAATTTCTTTTTTTTAGTTGTATAGTTTTGGCAATAGTTAATTGACAGCAACCCTTCCCCTATTCTTCGTCCACCATTTGAGACTCCTTACGAGCAGCAATCATACTTCTCCATTTTATTTCCTTGTAACCTAAGCTTGTTTCTTATTAATATGTGTTGTTATTTCTCTTCTCTTTCGTTCGTTATCTCTAAATTGAATCTCGGGTCTATAAGATTTCAGTTTGGAATAATTATGTTTATGTTTTCAGCCATGGGCTAAGTTATTTTGGAATGGAAAAACTGTGAAGTTCTAAAAGAACTATGCTCAAAACTTTTGTACTGAGGTTTTTGTATTTTTGTGATTTAAGTAAGCTTAACTCCTTGGGTATCAATGGAAATTGAACTCAAACTGAGAAGGGAACTTTCATAAGGAAGAGATTTCAGACAACTTAATCAGAGGAGGAAGGTAGGGTTGTGAAAATAATGCTATTGGTTTCCTTAGGAATAAGGAACCACCTCGTTCTCTGAAGGTTTTGAACTTAGTAACTATTGTAGTCAAGGGAACTAGAGGACTGTGGAAACTTGTGAGCTATTAAAGTCCATGAGTTGAGGAATCAGAGTTGGCAGTGAAAAGACATGAACAGATTCAAGAGAGTTAAGTCTTAAATTGAGAGTATAACTATTTAAGAATGGAACAGGAGATCCGTTTCTTGTGTTAAAAACTGCTTTTATCCAACCATCTTGTTGTCTCTTAAATATTGTTATCTTTTAGTTATTCTCCTTTATAATTCTGGTGACAATACAATCAAACTCCAATGAATTTTGTCGTTCCTTCTAACATCAAGAAAGATTTGATACATAACGACGCGGGAAGTTGTTTAGAGACAAACTGAACCTATTATCAGGAAGGAACATCCTCAAGATAGTAGGGCACAAGTCTTGAAATGAACACAGACAATTACATCATTCCATAAGTGTGCAACTAGACCACAATTCCGTCCATAAACATAGTTTGACATGATCTTTGGATCCTTTCCTTTAGTCTTTTCACCTGAAAAAAATAGCCTCATAAAGGGTGAGATATACATCTCAATAAGAAAAGAACATCTTACTTTTTTAGTCCATTGATTCAATCATACATTTCCTTGTTGGACATCTGTTAACTCATCCTGCATAGGGTTAAAACATCATGTCTTGTACAATATTATAATGCATCAATTACATTATCCATCAATAATAACATAACCACTATGCGGTCACAAGATCAACTCCTGTCATTTACAATGGATGCACTAGAAGACTTGTACGAGTATTGAAATCAAACATCGTGAGACGTCCCTCACAACATCAATTATCATATTCCTAGTCTTTGGAATATGGCACAAGTGGAGAAAATTGTCAATCATGTAAATCATGGTACAACTATGAAATCTAACTAAGGCATCCAAACAATTAGGGAAAATGAAATTTAAAGGCTAATTGGTCATACAATATACCCAAATACCCTGACAACCGAGCCAATATTCAAAGAAAAGTAAATATGTCAACTGTGAAGGAATATCAGGATATATTTGTGTTGATATCAGGATATTTCAATGCAGATATCTGGGTATAATATGGATCCGAAAATTCGAAAGAAAATTAAAATAATCATCATATTTGAGAGTTTTACTTCACATAGGTTCCAATAGTTTTTTATTTTTTATTTTGATGCATAGTTCCAATAGTTCTAAACACCACTTTAGAGATCATATTAATTTTTCGAAGAATATAAAAAAGGAAATTTCATGTTCGAATTCATGGATGCCCTTCGTATACACATGCAAGCTCTTCACAGAACAATTACACATGCATTCAGCAAAAATAGTAGTTATTTGCAACAAATCATCTCAGCACTAAACTTATGTAGAAGAAAAATAAGAGGTTCTTCAAACTTACTTCAGCCAACGAATTCCCAAAATTAAGCTACGCATTCTCTGTTCCAATAAACCGTCTTAATTCAACCTTCCCAAGATTCTATCTACTCATATGCAAGAGCTTCTAGCTATGAGTTAATTCTACCCAAGATTCATAAGACTTCAACCGGAGAATTTTGAGGGAGAAGGATGGAGGAGGTGAAATATTCAAGTTATGGGTAGAGATGACTGTGATGATTCAAAAATGTCTTGAAGTATAAGAAAATTTCTGGA